GCAAATGACAATAAAGAACCTTGACTTTGAGTATGTTTCAGATCTCCTATGTGTTTCAACCAGTTCACTTAAAACAACGACAAAAAGTTGATTAAATGTTGTCAAATGAGCACAGAACAACCACAAAGCTCTGAGTATTTTAGACTAAATATTATGATTTTATGGTTGAGAATAAAATTCATTGCATTTTTCAGTCCCTTCTTTCAGTTCGGTGTGTGGCCCTTCAATTTCTTAAGTCGAAATGGCTCTTTGTAAACAATGGTTGCCCACCCCTGGATTGGAGTGATGGAGATGCACTGTATTTGGGTAGTCGTTTTAGCATGTTTTAATTATTTTTTGACCCACTGTTTGTCTCAAATTCACCCAATTCATTAAAAAATTAAGGAAAAACAGAACATATAGTGTGGTGGGGAAATACTATGAATGACTTACAGTAAGTCTTCTTTTCCCATCTTACAATTACAAAGAAACTGTGGTACTTTGTTTCTCAGCATTTCTTTGCCACATTAGCTCTGAGTATCATTGGCTTGATCCTGGACCTTATAAAAGCTTGAACTGCATGTCAATAATATTTCAGCAGACAGATTTGTATGGCGTTATGGTTTCGGGAACAGTTGCTGTGTTCAGTACAATGTATGACCCACATGATGCAGAGCCTAAAAACAACACCAGCTTTCCATCACAGTTGGTGACAAAGAAACTAACAAACAAACAGAACAGAAGCAATTATTTCCCTTAAGTTGTCCTATCAGAGCTCATTTATTTCCCCTCTGAAGTAATGATGTTTTGTTTTTCCCAAGGGTTTGGAAGTAACATCTTAAGGAAAGGCCAATGAAAAGTAATTGGATGGTGCTGTTATTCTGTCTGTGAACCACTACAGATGGGTTGCTGGGTGTCCGTTATTTAAGACTGAAGTTTTTATTGATTCTAGCAAAAAGTGTTTGTTTTTTCTGCTGCTTTCAAAGTTTGGTTGAATGTGGACCAAAGGCGTTTGTGCTCTCCCTTTAAAAAATTTTAAAAAAACAGCAAAATGACTTATTTCTTTAACTTTTTAATTTTTAATATTTGATTAAAAGAAAACATGCACCACATTGTTCATATCACGCTTTATTTACCACAAATGAACAAATACAGAAGGTTATTAATATTTTGTAGTGTTTCAGACAATCATCCACCTGCACCTCTGAGAAACACAAAAACACACTCGCCATCAATTTCATGCAAATTCTTGTTAAGTATTGTTCGTTTCATGTCCAGATGTTTCTGGCATTAAGCCAACAGTGCAGAAAAGTTTTCTCTGGTTTCCTCTCACCTTGTTTTTTTAATTATTTATTTATTCTGCCTCTTCCCTCTCTTGTTGTTTGGTATTTTTCATGCTGCCTTCTTGTAATTTCTGCCTTCTTTTTTGTGTTTGGTAGTTTAAATGTTGTGGGGGCAAAGATTTCACAGACTGGGAAGTCAACATGTACCACAACTGCTCTGCGCCTGGTCCTTTAGCCTGCGGAGTCCCGCATACCTGCTGCATTACCACTAAGGTATGTTTTCTGCTCCCTACAGTTATTAATTACTACTGAACAATTCCAAATGTACAGCTCTGACATTAAATGACCAACTGAACTACAGTTTTGATTTCTGTTATTTTGATTTCTATTATGAACAACCACAGAGTAACAAATGCTTTTTTAATATTCAGTTTATTCAAAGACTCATTTAACCCTGAATATTTTGGGCTGCATTCAGTTCAAGACACTTTTTTTTTTTAAGAATCAGAATACTTTATTAATAATTAATTGCCAGTGGGAAATGTACTTTGTTACAGTTGCTCCATGCAAAGGTATAAAAATGTAAACATAGAAAGATTATCCAAGTATATATATTCATCTGAGTGAAAATAAAAATAATGTAGAAGATTAAAAATATTTAAAATAACAATTAAAATTTTAATATATACAATATGTGTGATCATATTCAAGTATGTGAAGCTGTAGTGCAGTTCTGAATATGTAGGTATATTGCTGACAAGGTAAGCGGTCTCTGACACTCAAAGTGGGATCAGTTGAATAGTTGGATGGCCACAAGCAGAAATGACCCTGTGGTGCTCTGTGGTGCATTTTGGTGGGCTCAGTCTTGCATTAAACATGCTCCTGTGTTTTGTCAGCATGGCATGGGGATAATGGGCAACATAGTCCAGAATGGCATGTAACTTGAATAGCATCCTCCTGTCTGACACCACAGTCACCAAGTCCAGCTCCACCCCCACAACATCACTGGCCTTGCAGATCAATTTGTTGTCTGTTGGCAGCCACTACCCTTAGTCTGCTGCCCCAGCACACAACAACAAACAGGAGGGCACTGGTCACCACAGTCTCATAAACCATTTTCAGCATAGTCCTGCAGATGCTGAAGGATCTTAACCTCCTCAAAAAGTAGAGGCAGCTCTGGCTCTTCTTGTTGAGGGCATCAGTATTCTTAGCCCAGCCCAGTTTATGGTCAATGAACACTCCAAGGTATTTATAATCTGCCACAATGCCCACAGTGACCCCTGGATGGAAACGGGGATAGCCAGTGTCTTGACCCTCCTCAGATCCACAAGTTCCTTTGTCTTTGTCACATTGAGCTGCAGGTGGTTCTGCTCGCACCGTGTGACAAAGTTATCGACTAGAGCCCTGTATTCAGCATCATCGCCATTGCAGAGTCATCAGAAAACTACCAGGACTGTGTCTGGTAGCTGAAGTCTGTGGTATAGAGGGTGAAGAGGAAGGGAGGACTGTCCTCTGTGGGGCCTGAGTATTTCTGACCACCTTGTCTGACACACTGTTCTGCAAGTGCACATACTGTGGTCTGCCAGTTTAGTCCTTGGCACCACTAGGACGGAGCATGTTTGGCACAGGAACAAGGCAGAACGTCTTCCACAACACAGAGACTCTCTGAAGACTCAAGCTCATCGTGAAGACTGAATGTAGCACTCCACAGAGCTGGGGGGCACAGGTTTTGAGGTCCCCATGGCTTGCACCGTTAGGGCCTGCCACTATGCCTGAGTTGAGTTTCCTCATTCCTCAGCTGTCTTTCAAGCTGGTAAGGTGAAGTACACTGTTGAGAATGCATGATGGGGAGGAGGAGGGTTTGTCATCAGGATGAGGACTGTTGGCTTGTGAGCCAGAGGATGCATAATAATTATGAAGAGGGGAGGAGGACCCTCACAGCAACTTGAAGTACAGCTAGGAGTCAGGGAAGGGAGAAGCAGTGGTGTTTGGAGGCAGCTCACAGAAGAGTTGGGGGGGGGGGGGGTGCTGTTGTATCAAATCTGTTGAAGAATACATTTAATTCATTGGCCATAAGCCCCATGCCCTCACTTCCTCAGTTCCTCCTGCATTAGCTGGTCTGAAATCAGCCATGGTCTTCATACCACTCCAGATGTTCTTCATGCTGTTCTGTCAGAGTTTCTTCTCCTGTAGTTGTCCTTTGCTTCCTTGATCTTGATTTTCACTTCTCTCTGAATAGTTCTCAGCTCATATCCCTGTTAATTTATGCCACAAAACAACTAAAGATGCAAAAAAGGCACAACTCAAGTCTGTAAATTGTGCAGAAAAAACACATCAAGCACCAAGTGGAATATGAGCGCTGATTGGAGAGGATGATTAGAGGTCTAAAATGTTCTGTCTCTTTCAGTGTAATCAGTGTGGGGAACAATATTCTGTTCAAGATGAAAGTCGAAAAAAACAATACCATTGTCGTTAATGATTTTTATCTTATTTTATACATTTATTTTTACTGGCAGATTAAAAATTAAACTACATTTTTAACAACCTGTCATAAATATGTTAAGCCTTACAGATGCCATGAAAAATACCTTTTCATTTGTGCTTCTAAAGGAACAAGTTAAACTTGTGCACAAGTGTCAGTGTGTGCCCTGACTCCACTCCTCCAAATATTTCCTTAAACAGATCTTTGTTTATTTTGTGTATAAATTAATCTTTGTCCAAACTAGAGCACAAGCAGAAATTTTAACACAAACTCAAGATGCATCACTGGGTGTTGAGCTACCAACAAACTGAATTACCAAAGAAAGAACATCTTGAATGCATCTGAAGATTCTCCCAAAGTAATCATAACTTATTGTTTGCAATTTGCTCTCAACCTTTATTTCGTTTGAGCACACATTCAAATAAATCAAAGGCAGCACTAATAACAGGGCTGGTCTTTCTGTATAGAAACCGTTTAAATGTCTTTAAAGCTACAGAAAACTCAAAGCTCTACAATAATAACTTTTTCCGTAGTTCTATATGACAATAATAGTGTTAAATTTATTTAGTGTTTTCACTGTAGTTCATGTTCTTATTTTTCATTTTATTATTATGTAATCATGTGGCAGAACGGTGGAGCAGTTGGTAGAGCTGCCGCCTCTCTGCAAGAAGGTCGAAGGTTTGAATCCCGGCCGGGGGAACCTTTCTGGGTGGAGTTTGCATGTTCTCTCCGTGCATGCGTGGGTTTTCTCCGGGTACTCCGGTTTCCTCCCACAGACCAAAAGCATGCATGTTAGGCTGATTGGTAACTCTAAATTGTCCCTAGGTGAGAGTGAGAGAGTGGATGGTTTGTCTGTGTGTGTCCATATGATGGACTGAAGACCTGTCCAGGGAGTCCCCTGCCTCTCGCATAGTGACTGCTGGATATGGGCACCAGTGACCCCATGACCTGAAATGGAAGAAGCGGCTAAAGATGATGGATGGATGGATGTAATCATGTGCGTGTGCTACTTTCATGGTTGTTTTATTGCCACTGATTTATAATCAGGACTTTATCTTTATTACATTTTATTTTTACTGGTTTTGAGCCACCTAAAATAACAAAGGCAAGTGAAAATGTCCTTGTACATTATTTTCCCATTAGCATGAGCTGCATAGTTGTTTTGATGAAGATGAGCATGTTATGTGGCCTAAAGGCAGACATTTTTTGTACTTAAGCACAATAAACAATGTGAATTTCTTCACATGAAACTCCACGCAACGTGGGATTTAAAAAAAAATGTATTTATTTTTTATGTCAACCTCATAACTTTACCATTTCCTTATCCACTTTCAGGAAATTATGACATGTAAAAGGTTTTATAAAACCTAATCATCAGGTGAAAATACACTACTGGGAGTACCTGCTGTTAATTAAATCCTTATTTAACAATGTATAAAATGAAGTTTGATCCTTTTACTTGTTCATCTATGTAATTTGAATAAACTGTAGGTTATTAACTCCCAAATGAACTCTTCCTTCCTGCTAACACCGTTTTACACACATCACAGAGTTTTATGCGCTATTAAACCAACATTTCTACTTTTTACCACCAGTTGTGTGAGAGAGACAGAGACAGAAGCAGAAAAAATGTGCAGCACTTGTTTTTATTGCTTTTTATTTCTGAACATAAACCTCTTTTAAAGCCTTGGTGTGGTGCTTCTTGTGTTGGACAATATTTAATTCTCTCTGCCACCTTTTATTGAATCTTTGTCTTGTTCTCTGTGCTTCCTTTTCTTCTAGCTGAATGAAGTGGCCAACACTCTGTGTGGGTTCCAGGTGCTTAAAGACTCGGTAAGATATATATTTATATTTTGTGACAGCTACACAAAGATTAGAGCATTTCATTTTTATGAACTCGTTGATTTTTCAGCATTGACATCCAGAGTTAAAGAAAAGGTCATTAACGCTGGAAGGTGAAGACGCCTTCTTATAACGCTGGAGGTTGACGATGCCTTCATGAAGCGTTTACTCGCCGACAGCTGGATGTTTTCTTACTGTGACTGTTGAAATATCCGTCATGACTTTTGTGTAATTTTTGTCCCTGCGCTAAAATCCCTACAGTAAAACAGACAAGTATGGAAAAAGACGTTACAGCAATCACTTGGAGCAAAATCGTTTTTGAACAAAATCAACATGGCATCAGCAACATTAAAACGATGGTGGCGTGAACTTTTTAAACACTTTAGAAACTCTTGAGGTTATGAGGCGTTTGCTTCTCTTGCAGCGGCTGGATGTGATAGACAAAATCTATGTGAGAGGCTGCCTTGATGCGTTCTTCATCTGGCTGATGGACAACTACAAGAAGATGGCCATCCTGTTGTTGGTTATCTTCTTACCTCAGGTACCTGCAAACACCTGGTGAAGCACATGTTTTACTGTAGGTTGCGCAACTTGTTCCTCTTGAATATGGAAAGGTGGTCTTCACCTGCCATCCTGGTGAAAAGGTTTATATAACAAACATTAAGTTTGCTGCTGGCGCTGAAAAAAGATGTGTAGTTTGATTCAAAGTGCTGCGAATGAGTCGTGTTCATCTGCTCTGCTTCAAAGGAGCCAGACGGTTTGTATAGTTCTTTGAAGTTCGCTGGACGTTTTTGAAGGTCGTTCAGTTTTTCTTTGAACTTCTTTTTTTTTTCTTAAAAAAAATTTTTTTTAAGTGTCTGCTTGAAACTAGAATATGAATCATTCAAAAATAAAAGATGCCTAAACTTGAAGGAAACCGCTAGTTCTCTACATATAATAGGAATTTTAGAAATCAAACATTTTTCTATTTAGTTTTTCATCATGGCTCCCTTTTACATTTTTGAGGCTCCACAGAACCATCTATTCAAAGTATGAAACAAAAATTCAAGAATGAGTTTAATTTGTTACGAAGCCTGAATAAATAATTAATGTTTCTACTTAAAGAAATTATAAGAACTCTTGTCTGAGCATTGTGATCCAACGTGCGTGTTTCAGTAAAATGGCTGCGACTCTGTCCAATGTTTCAAGCAAAACGCACATGAGGTAGGGCTTAAAACCTTTGCACAGTAATGTTTTAGTTCATATGAAAGAAACGTCTGCATAAATTACAAACATAAGAAGCCAGAGAAAATCAAAAACAGCAGATTGCTCATGTCCTATAAGTTATTTTATGCATTAATGCTTAGTTGGACAAAAATGTTTTTATGTTTTTTAATGTGGATCAGCCCCGTTATCAAAATACAAAAGCCACCTCAGGGATACATGAAATGCATAAATATGTACATTAAAAAAAATGTTTTTACATATTTTCATGTGTCACCTCAATTTTAGCCAGACAAACGTTTATAAATATGTTACTTTACAGAATTAGGTGTGAGCTATAGATCTGATGCAGCTTTTCACTGACCTTTTAGTCTTATTTATTTATTTATTTATTCTTATTCATCAGTTTATGCAGCAGTGTTAAATTTTTTTGTATAGCTAAACCAAACTCGATATTTGTGCTCGCTAAATTTTATTCAAAAGGACCAGTTTACGGTAACTAGTTTCAGAACGCCTGTGAAAATCAGAAGCACAGCAGAACAAAACATTTGTCAATACAGTAGTCTCTCGCTACTTCGCAGTTCGTTTTTCGCTACTTCGTGGTTCGTTTTTCGCTAACTCGCTAACTTGCTAACTCGCGGTTTTTCAAAATAAGATTGACCATGACACATTGACCATGACTGATTGATGAATGAGCCGCACGATCGGCATGGATTTTTTTTTTTTTCATTTAAAATAAATTGTTTTAAATTATTTAGCACCTGCTGCACCTTTATGCAGCACACACCTGCAGGATAATCTTCCTCCTGCAGCTGATCTGCTGATTTCTGTGCAGAGAAGTGGGCGTGGCCAAGAGTGCTTGCTGGTGGCAAAGAGCAGCAAGGGACTACTGTATTTTAAATTCTATGCTGTTACTCATATTAAATGATAAAAAATGTAAAACTTTCCTAACCCTTCATGTACATCCAACCAGTGTACCTCATCACCAGTGAAAAAGGAATAAGAGCAGCTATAACAAAAAATGCTGCCATTTCTGCAAGATTTTTGTATTACATTAGAGGAGGACTGTCCTGTATCTGCTGTGACACGTAATAACCTTCACATTGCATTGACCGTATTAATCTCGATGTTTCCATTCTGATCCAATCTTTCTGACCACGTCCAGCTGACAAGCGTGAGCAGACGGGGCATGGAAGCTATTTTCTCTGACATTTCTACCCTCTTACGTTTTACTGGAAATCATATAGTGCGTTTAGAATCAAGAGTTTCTGACAGCTATGAATATATGAATGTTGAGTGGCTTTGACTGTAAGCAGCACATTAGATGTCACTGAGCTGTTCTCGAGACCGAGCACACATGCCGGCAGGCAGTAATCCAGTCAACATAATGGGTGCTTCTCATTATTATTTATAAAGTATTTTATGTTGTCTGGCTCCTCAGGTGGTCCAAAAATGATTAATTTGATATTTTTACTGAGCAGAATGTTTCAGTTTGCTGTTTTATTTTTGTTTCAATTGAGGGGTTTGACGGAAGCTTCATTGCTTCATCTGCAGCTGATGCTTAATTACTTGCTGCTAATCTGATTGTTTGTCTCATCCTCAAAAGATGGTGAACCCTAAAATAATCACACCTATATTTGAAATAAATATATATTAAAACCTAGCCGATGCATTATTTAGTATTTATTTGTAAACTGATGTTCAGGCACTGGTAAAATTTTTCATTTAAGAGGCTTAGTTTGGATTTCTGAGAGGACATCTTCTTTCCTAAGCTGAAAATAAATGTGCAATCATGATCCCTAATATATGCAAAGCTGTAAGGACCTGCAGAATAAAACCACTGATCAAATCTAAGAAATTCTAATTTCCACTGGAGATGCATAAAAACCTAAGAAAGTGACTAATAAATGCACACTATGACACCCAGTATTTTCCTCTCTCTCTCTAGTTCTTTGGTGTGATTATGAGCCAGCTGTACATCACTCGGGTCACAGAGGAAGAAGCTCGTAAAGAGGAGGGTCTGCTTCCAAAGACCCAGCCCCGCGTTGCCAAATGGTTCAGGTGTATGCCAGACAAGACGAGAAATCCCAACCATCTGTAAACACTCAGTGGGCCTGGTGTTTTCTAAACTGTTTTTATGGTTCAGCTGTTTTTTTGTTTTTTTTCTTTCTGTGTGCTACATGTTCTAGTAATTAATACAAACTGTGTTTTATATTCTAATAATGCAATTATGGAAATAAAACTGATATAAATGTATTTTATCTGTATCTGTCTGGTGCCTCAGTCTCGGGGATAAATGCAGGAACCAAAAACACATTTACCGTCTTTATATAAAGACTGATGACATGACTACGACATCTTTCAATGCAAAATTCAGAGCATTACTTGTGTAAAACCCTGAAAAGTTTCTGGTATCAAACATTCAACAATCTCTTTGTGCCACCGGAGCTCATCAAACCTTCATGATGTGTCCACCTCATTAAGAGTTCATTCCTCCAGTAAGAAAAACTTGAGGTGGACAAATTTAAATGGTTTTGTTTTCTAATAAGATTATTACCACAAAAGTTACCTTTTCAATTTTTTCCAAGATACGATGGAAAATTGAAGCATTCAAAGACAAAATACAACATTAAAGTGATCAAATGTCTTCTGCATGAACTGTGAAATACCGTATTAACCTTGGTGAAGGTTCACAAAAGTTATTGTGTTTTCTTTAACATATCATTTACAGTTTTTATTAAATATAGATTGTGTTGAAAGAATGCAAAGCACTACTTAAAAATGAATGCAATTAAAGTGGCTCTGTCATTCTAAAGATACCTCAATGTTATTGTTCAGTATATTAGACATAAATCAAATGCATTAAAATGTAAAATTACTCCACTGCAGGATTAACTGTTTCCTAAACTCAACCCCAACATGAAATTCAGCTTTGAAACTTGTGTGTTTAGCAGCAACACCGACCGCTTGTGCATGATCACCTCAAAAATGTTGCAACTTGTTTAATAATATATTTCTGCAAGAAACTATTTTTTCCCTAAAAACAATTTCCAGGTGATGTGAATGTGTCTTCTTTTTTGTGTACCTTTTGGATCAAATTGTTTTAAAACATTAAAAAAATATATTTTTTTTGCTTGTCAGATTTACAAAATTTAATCGACTAATTATTTTACCTTGAAAAGCTGTCGCATTTAAGAGTTCTTTTATTTTGAAGGTGCGCCATTTAAAATCGTTTGGGTGACGGTGTTGATTTGGAAGATAAGACTGACTTTTTAATTTATTTTTCTGGCTCCACATCTTTCCAAATTTTTTGATGATATTAAATCAAACCCAAGTCTTGTTCTATTTTTATTTTTTTTTTAAATTGGAATGAATTGTGTTGGCGATAAAATGTATGTGTGGGATTTAGACAGGAGTTCAGCCCTTCTGGAGTCTTGCTCATCCTTGTTTTTAACTAATGCATCATAGTTTATGCAAATGCCAGGTGACCTCTCGTCTGATGAGTCACCTAGAAAATGGCCATAAAATGTAATGTTAAATAAGTGACTGCATTAATATTTACCCCTTTCAAAGTCACTGTGCTACTTCAACTCATAGAAAGGTTACTGAGATGTACGAGTCAGGGGTGAATTCAAAAGGATTTCCAAGGCCCTTAACAACCCCAGTAATTTTGTTAAATCCATCTTTAAGAATGGAAAGAATATGGAGCCTATGTAAATCTACCAAGAAAAATCCGTCCTCCCAAACTGAGTGACCATGCAAGAAGAAGAACAGTGAGGGAGACCACCAAGACATCGGTGAGTGCTCTGAAGGAGCTGCAAGCTTCAGCAGGTGAGAAGGAAGAGACTCTGAGTCGGAGAGATTTGTCATTCGCATCTCGCGTGGTACATGTGGTGGAACGAGATTATGCACACAGGGTCCCAGTTTCATCCAACAATAAAATGTAAAAGAAAAACGGTAATAAGATCTAAGATATGAACTAAGAAAAACAGCAGCTAAATAATACACTAGGTACTAATAGCATAAAAACATGATGTTGAACAGCAGCATGAACACAGCAACATGAAATGCAACTGCAGCAACTGTTGCTCTGGTTCTTCACCAGTATAAGCTTTATGGGAGAGTGTCGAATAGAAAACCACTGCTAAAGAAAACTCATATTAAACTTTAATCAGGGCTGGCTGCCAAAAAGCACTTGACCATGCAGTCTTCCACATGCCATTTGGCAAACTCTAGCTTAGTCTAAGCTATATTTGTATCGTCTGTCTCTCTGTATCCTAAACGTTTCAGTGTTTACAGTACAGTACTACAATATTTATACATATCACTGTCTGTCACAATGGAGACGAGAAGCAGAGCACCATGAAGACAGCAAACACACTCGCATAAAGGGTCTGATCTCAGCCCACCCACCAACTTTTTTTTAATGAAAGTTGATGACTCGAGCACAAATCTTAAATGGTTAATTCACAGCAATCCCAAGCTGACGTTGCCAATAAGTTGAAATCCATTCAGAAAATGAAACGCATTACAGCTGACACTTTCAACTGAGCTGGTGTTTAAAAACTGAGTAACTAAACCACTTAAGCCACGTTTTATTATGGGTTTGCAACATTATTTTATAAGTTAATGAAGCAGTAGCTATTAGCTGGCGTCTGAATGAGTCTGAGCTACTGAGGACTTTAAAGAGCATTTTTTTAGTTTCAGTTCAGCTAACAGCATCTTATCTCTTATTATTCAAAACACAGATAAAAGCTGATTCACATACAGAAAACGGAAATACAAAAAATTATTTTCTTTAAAACAAAATCTAAAATGGAACATTCAGGTTGTCAGAAATTACTGTATTGGTTACTGCTCAAGAATGGCTTCACGGTTCTTCTCTCATGCTCATAGACGCACACTCAATGACAATGAGTCAGTGTTCAGTAAAGTGTGGGTAGGTGCTGATCACTGATTAGTCTAAAGCCCGGTGTTTGTTCAGACAATGACATTTACCCCTGTATTTAATAACTAACAAGCCTGATCACTTTGTCTGGCAGCTAAGGATGGAGAGTTTAAAGGCACGTGTGTCATGCCCCAGACTTATGTTCTTCTCTATGACTAAAAAAAATTAGCTAATTACACTCGGGAGCAGAGACACACTTCTGAACGTATAACTAATTAATCACACCATGGCTACACATTAGGACTCATTTATTAGTCTGATTCAATGCTAGCATTTTGCACAGATGTGAATGCCCAATAAGAAAACAGAAATGAATTGTGCCTGTAAAACTAAGAGTGTAAAGTATTCAGAAGGAAACATCAGACAGCATCAGCAAATTATTTCAAGATATTTCCAAACATGTCAGAGTGGTTAATGGGTGCTTTTACAAATGGTGTTACTGAGGCAACTAGAACCTCTTAACAGTCTCTTTAGGCCAAATAATAAAGTAAGTAATGTGAACTTGTTGGACTTTATCAGTCCATTGTTTAAAACTGTTTTTTTTTTATCTGTTTCTAATTTAATGCAGTAAGTCTTATTTAGTAATAAAATTAAATGAGATTTTGTAAATGAAAATTAAAGTGCTACTTGAGGTAATTGGTAGTTTTTTTTTATTTAGAGTGGGGTTCTGTGGAGTAGTTTAAAGCAGTCAGTATCTTATCTACAGTAGATAACAAATGGGACAATCCCAGCTTGGCGACGTAAAGAAATTCCCAGTGAAGAGTTTTAACAGCTAGTTAAAGCAAGACTTATTCCAAAACAGATTTCGGCCATCTTAAAACAACTCTGATTTAAAAAATAAAATATAATGTTGATTCATGCAAATACTATTTTTATATATCTTTCACCGCTATTTCTTTTAACCTACTTGGTTACTCACATAAATGTTTAAGTTTTTACACTTGTGTTGGTCAGCTTCTGTCACCATAATGGTGCATGTGAGACTTGTGCAATTAAACACTAATAGTTAAAGTAACTATACCAGATAGAAAAGTAATACACTGCAAAAATCAATAAAATAATGTTACCTTGAATTGTTGTAATATGAGCCTCCATACATACATACACAGATAGATAGATAGATAGATAGATAGATAGATAGATAGATAGATAGATAGATAGATAGATAGATAGATAGATAGATAGATAGATAGATAGATAGATAGATAGATAGATAGATAGATATTGGGGGGGGGGGGTTTGTGGGGTTTTTTTTACACAACAGAACAGGAATGCACAGGCGCAAACCCCATCTCCAAATGCTCTTAAAACGTGCATACCTGTACACATTGAAAAATGTTTAAATAAAATTAATTTTGTTTTTGATAAGTGACAGAGGGCAAATCACTTAAATAGACTAAAAAATGTTGTCAAATGCCATTCGAAGGAAATGTCCATTTAAAACAGAAAAATGACACTTGTTTGCTTCTTTTAAAAGAGTCTTGTGTTTTTAAACACAACCAAAGTTAAGATGTTGACATTTATACACTGACCATCTTTAAATGAAGCTTAATTGTGGATAAATCTTTGTCAGTACAAATAACCATTTTGATATTACTGTACCATAAGAAGTGGAGCATCACCCCCGTTCCTGCACCAACCTTTCAGTCATTCATCAATATCCGTACAGCTCAACCGTCCATCTCCCAACACAATAGTTACTATTTATCGTACGCCATACTGGTATTGAAAACCTCCCCAGCATAAACAACTCATCCTCCTCTGATGAGCTAGTATCACACTTTAACAACAGTCTCCATAACACCCTGGTCCAACTAAAAACATGGACTGTCTCCTTCACCCACTCTGTATCCTGGTTTACACCTGAGCTTCACCATTTGAAGACCAAAGGACGACAGCCGATCAAAGCAGATGGCTGCTTGTCCTGAGCCTGGTTCTGCTGGAGGTTTCTTCCTTTTAAAAGGGAGTTTTTCCTTTCCACTGTTGCCACTGTGCTTGCTCAGGATGGGAGACTGCAACAAAGCCAAGATTCAACTTGTCTACTGGATTCCTTAGATAGAGAACTTAACTAATTGGCTTTTTAATGTATGTGAATGTTTCTGTAAAGTGCCCTGAGACAACTTTGTTGTGATTTGACGCTATAGAAATAAACT